CACATTACAAGAACACCAAGTCTGTAAAATCAATCACTCATGTGTTCAAAGCCCCTGTACGAATGTGTCTACATTACCCTCATTGTGTTCACTCCTTTAGTTCAACTCTGCACAAAACTGCAGCATACAATACAGAACGGCATAGGAGGGCCGTAAATCACAGGCGTTTAGCAAATACTGCGACCAAGAATGACTCCAAGACTTTTTGTTTCACAGCAGAACACAGTGGGGACCTGAACCTGCCCCGTGCTACTGCATAGTGTCTCAAGGAATGGGCTTCTCCCAGGTTCCTTCTCTTTCACTACAGAAGATGCCACGCTAAAAATTAGGAAAATTAACATGAGCCCCCTTCTGGTGTGTTATACCTTGAAGCATAAGCCTGGAACAAACAAGTGGCTGCCCTCACCAGCTTCTCCTACTCTTCCTCTCAAATGCCACAAGATCCCAAAATCTCACCAAAGCACTTCACGAGCTTTGGGATGCTGGTCAGCATAAAGCTTACAAGTCTTGCTCTCCTACAGCAGACGTGGACAGTCTGATGACTGTTCTTAGTTCATGTTCTCATTACTGTGAGTAGCTGAAGGAAGAACTGCACGTCTTCCTGAGACAGCTGTGGTGGGTTGACCCTGTCTGGATGCCAGGTGCTCACCAAAGCCGCTTTTTCACTCCCTTCCTCAGCTGGACAAGGGAGAGAAAAATAAAACAAAAGGCTTGTGGGTTGAGATAAGGACAGGGAGATCACTCATCAATTACTGTCATGAGCAAAACAGACTTGGGGAAAATTAATTTAATTTATTACGAATCAAATCAGAGTAGGATAAGGAGAAATAAAAACTAAATCTTAAAAAAAGCTTCCTCCCCACCCCTCCCTTCTTCCCAGGCTCAACTTTACTCCCAATTTCTCTACCTTCTCCACCTGAGCAGTGCAGGGGGGACAGGGAATGGCGATTGCGGTCAGTTCATCACACATTGTCTCTGTTGCTCCTTCCTCCTCAAGGGAAGGACTCCTCACACTCTTCCCCTGCTCCAGCATTGGGTTCCTCACATTGGAGAAAGTTCTCCATGAACTTCTCCAACATGAGTCATTCCCATGGCTGCACTTCTTCATGAACTGCTCCAGCGTGGGTCCTTTCCACAGGGTGCAGTCCTTCAGGAACAGACTGCTCCAGCGTGGGTCCCCTGTGGGGTCACAAGTGCTGCCAGCAAACCTGCTCCAGCATGGACTCCTCTCTCCATGGGGTCACAGGTCCTGCCAGGAGCCTGCTCCAGCACAGACTTCCCATGGAGTCACAGCCTCCCTAGTCACCCACCTGCTCCAGTGTGGGGTCCTCCATGGGCTGTGGGTGGATCTCTGCTCCACCATTCACCTCCATGGGCTGAAAAGGGATAGCCTGAAGTGGTCTTTGCCACAGGCTGCAGGGGAATCTTTGCTCTGGCACCTGGAGCATCTCTCCCCCTCATTTTCTTCACTGACCTGGGTGTCTGCAAAGTTGTTTCACTCACATATTCTCACGCTTATCTCTGGCAGCTGTTGTGCAGCACCATTTCCCCCTTCTTAAATATGTTATCACAGAGGTGCTCCTACCATTGCTGACTGGCTTGACCTTGGCCAGAGGCAGGTTCGTTTTGGAGTCAGCTGACACTGGCTCTGTAGGACATGTGGGAAACTTCTAGCAGCTTCTCACAGAAACCACCCCTGTAGTCCCTTGCACACAAGGTTTTTAATAGCCTTAAAAAAATCTCATCATTTTTCTATCACGTTAAGACCAGACTTGACGTAACTGTATAAGTATCTTAGATGATGGCATCTCTTGTGGTGGGAGAAAAGACTAAGGACCAATTTTTTACAACTTATGAGTTTACAGGAATCCAGTCAGAGTGAGATGCACTGAATGCCTTTTGATTTTTTAAAGTTGGAAGATCTGTAAGTGCACCCAATTAAAAGTCACACTTCTGAAATTTAAAATAAATATCTAAGATAGCCTTATAGATTGCAGGGCTTACCATGACTGGATGCCAAAGGATGCACCAGGAGGATCAAGAAAAATCTTGACCTTGTAATAACTAAAGTGATGACCACAAACTCTGCTTGCATTATTACTTCTGGACCTCAGACTACTGGGTTTTTGACTGCTGTCCAGGACCTTCTGGGTTCAAAAGTTACTTTTGAAGGATCTAAGTGGAAGGAAATTATGAAAATCAATTTTATTAGCAGGAAACCTAAGTCTGCTACACTAAAGAGAAAAAAATAAATACCTAATGTTTGAAAAGCTCTCCCTTTGACACGGAAAGCAGCTGTTTCATCTTTTCGAGAAATTAGCGGATTCCACTTTCCAAATTTTGTGTACTCCCACAGTAACACGCTACTTACACTGAAAACCCCACTTCTGAAATCGATGCTGGTTCTCAGGAGCTGTTTTTCACAGAAACCAAACAGACTTAATTTCTTTCTTTCACAGTTGAGGTTTTCCAGGAATTATGTTAATATCCTAGATTATACATTCTTTAAAACAAGGTCCCTGGCTGTATCTATGAAGTGCCTACAACAGCAAGACAAAGTTACTCACTTATGTTACAGAATTCGAGCATATTGTATCACATCCTGCTTGAAATTTAAATGCTAGCATATGACTCAAACACAATAACATCTAATAATAGCTATGTATGAAAAAAATGAACCCTTTTTTACTGAAGTTCAGGAAAACCCAACAGTGGGAAAAAGTCTTGATGCCTTTCCTCGCATTATCTGCCCTTCCCGGAGCAGACTGCTTCACTGAACAAAACGAACACAAGACACACACCATGTGTAGCAGGAGAGCTGTGAAATTACTTGACTTCCAGCTTGATTTCAGAGGTGCAGAAAATCTCTCTGGAACACACTGAAATAGGATTACACAGATAGGAATGGCGTTCACCATTAATTTTTGCTGTAATCATGAACCAAGGGCAGCAGAAAGCCTAGCCTAAATACAGATTAGAATCTCCTTAGCTAGAAATGCGACTGAGGAGAGCGTAGGAGTTGACCGAAAGCAAGACACATTTCTGTTTCAACCCACTCCTCCCTAGCTGATTAAGTTGGTGTTTATAACACCAACCTTCCTTAGAAGTGAAAAGGGCACTGGGTGAACACGTCTGACTCCAAACAGCCAACAGCTACTGCGGGCAGAGTTAGTAAATACACAAGCACGTCCACAGACTACATTAAACTTTCACTGCTCAGATTCTACCCGACAATTTGCAGCCTCCTTTTCTGTAATCACAAGACAAATGGTTAGGAACAGAGTTCAGCACCAACACAGATCTAAGCTACAGGGTTCAGGTTACTACGTGGACTCTCAGGTAATAGCAAAATACAACAGCTTTCCTGGGGCTATCCGGTGGGCCCTTAATAAAGGAAGACCCTTTTCCTTATTCTTTCATGTTTTTAATGTTAACAGCAAATTTCTTTCCCTTTTACAAGTAAAGCATATGTGGTACCACTGCTGCCTCAAAGTGACTTTCTGCTCTTTATTCCTAAGCACATGGATTTATACATTTGCTGATTTTTAAATTTCATAGTTAAGAGTCAGTAATACGCTTTTTAGTTTTTACAGGACAATAAAACTGCTTCCCAGAGGTTTGAGACTTAAAATTCTACACAGCAGATTGATGTAGGCCTCTTGATCCTTCTTACCTCATTTTTGCCAAGTTAGAGTATAAAATAGCTGTTCTACTAATTGCAGCCAGGGATTTGTGTCTGATACCCAGATAGGCTCCTAAAGCCCGCTCCCTTTTCCCTTTGATCTTGCATATTCTGTTGCTTGAAAGAATACAGACAGGTGATGGAAAATGCTGGAGCCATTGCAAGTACAACTGCTCAAAGACCAATTAACACCAAAAACCCCAAAATGAACAAGAAGCCAAAAATGGAACTAAACCCACAACAGCTGGTGGTCATCAAGGCAGTTTTCCCAGAGGGCAGAAGACTGTTACTAATAGGATGGAAACACAAAATTTACTGAGACCAACTGTAACCGCTGATAACATACATTGAGAAGTGCCTCATTTCTCACATTTTCTGCAGAGCGAGACTGAAGCTGGACAGCAATCTTAACTTTTATTGTGGGGAAATTAAAAAGTGGGAACTGAAATGTAGCCCCCTGAAGCAATTAGTACCAGGAACTGATTTTACCATCATACTATTTTCATTGCATTTAAAAATAATATTCAAGTGGTTCTACCCATAGATATAAATTATTTCTCAGCTTAATCTATGCAGTATAGTTTATTAGGAACTGCCCATCGAGATTTTCCTACATTTTAAATTATTTACTGCATTTTATATTATTACTGCAGAACCTGGATGCTAGAATCCCCAGCAGAAGATTAAATGAAGTTGTATGTTCTCCCTTTACAACTGCAGAGGTTTTTAAGTGTTTCAATCACATCACAAAAACTTACATTCCTCTACTAACACAAAACACACACTCTTGCCATAGAAGACAAATATGTTGTTTCCAGCCAATGATTTTAACTTCAGATCTAGAGCAAACATAACCTCTTCAGAGCTGGGAACACGTTTGTGTGCAGGGAGAACAGCTCGCTGCATTACGGTGATACCACCACCTAAAATCACAGCACATACTGCACAGACATACTCACAAGGGTCATTATGTCCTTTGACACTGTACTGAAAGAACAGCCAGTATCAAAAGTTTGGAGACACTGAAAAGTTAGGATTATTATTATTATTATTATTATTTTTTTACACTATCACCAATTAATATAAAATGAGAAGCAGAAAAGCTATTTTCATTTAATGATGATCAATTTGCAGCTCATTCACAAAAGTCAAGAAGTAAGGGACTCCAAGAACCAAGAAAGCACAAGCATGAGTTATCACACATTTATTTATTAATTATCTAATAATTATATCTCTGATTTACAATACAGGTGAAGCAACAGTGCTAAATAGAACAATCAATCATTCTGCCTGGGCATTTGTTTTAAATGTGTTTCTTTCAGTGCCTTGGTGATGGTCTTCCAGAAGATGGCTGAGGCTGCCTGAATTTTGAGAGAATCGCAACATAATCAGCAAAGGTATAAATGTTGTATTCATGATGCTGAAGGTTCTTGTAGGTAGAATTATCAAATTCTTCTGGAGCAGGCTTAGCAGCTGCTGTGGTCTCTGTGAAAACAAACAGTAACTGGTGACTACAAGGATGCCACACCAAAGGACAATATTCTTAATTACTGAGCCAGCCTTCACATACTGTCAGATACCTCATCAACATTAAAAAAATAAATAAATTCAGCAGCCATAACAGAAGGAGAAGTTTACTAAGCTCTGCTGCTACCTTGTCTGGTCCTAAACCGGCACATCAGTATGCAGCAGGGGAACATGAATCAGTACAAGTCATCCAATACAGCACAGGTTTTCACATCCAAGCTAATGCTGGGGGAGGATAGGGCAGAACATTTCATTTCTATTTTGAAGACATATGTCTGCATTTCCTGGCTTTTTCATAGCTGCCTTGGTTTTCACTCCAGCCAGAACAGTAGGTGACATTCTTAGCAAGCCAGGAGAGTCAAAGCAGCAGTACAAGTGATACATCACCATGTCAGACCACAAGATACAGCTCTTAAAACTACTTCACAGACTGTTTTTTTCCATGGGGAGAAGTGATGGAATTATTGAAATCTCCACCGTTTAATTTCAAACATGGTTACACTGAACAGTAATATATCAAAAGCCTTTGATGTAAGTTTCCTTTCTTCTAAATGGAATCTTCTAAACTTTGTATCATCACTTCTTAAAAGAATAACCTAATAAAGTTATCCAGAGCTCCTTCACATTAAAGCCAATATAAATTCTTATACTTTTAGAACATGATGCAAATTTAGGCAGTACTATTTACATAAAAGGCTGCTGTTACAGGCTGATTTTACAACCAAGGCAATTGCAAGAAATAAAACTTTACTCCCAGTGTTAATTTATTCTCATATTCCGAGAGTTTTAACAATAGGAAAGACATAAGCATAATCTAGTCAAAAGCTTTGTCATATAAATTTGCATGTGATAATTTGATTATATTAAGCTTCTTTTTGTAATACAACTGTCTGCAATAAAAATACAAGAACTCAAGCAACTGAACACCAGAACTGCCCTTTAATTACGACAATTATTGCAATGCAATGCTATCAGTTTAAGAGCACGTATCCATAACATTTAGCAAGACTTGCTTGTAAAAGGCAATGTAGTAAGGCATGGTTTCAGCAAAACACCACAGACAACCTAGGAAAGGAAAAATCCCTGTGCCTACTGCTCAGTTCCTACTGAGAGCTGACAGGAGACACCACTACAGATACAAAAGCCAGATGATGTGGTCTTTGCTGCAAATAGACCTAGGAACAGGCAAGCATAGGCAAGTGTACATTCAAACTGCAAGAGACAGTTGTTCCAAATTAAGAGACAGATGCTCAGGAAGAAAAGCAGATGGAATCTCATTTTTCCTGCCCAAATACACTGTACTTGGCTTCTCGAAGGAAAAATTTATCCCCGAGTTCATCCTCCCCATACTTCAGACTTCATCTATGCTTTCTCTCTTAAAGAGCAAGCATTTCACAGGATGTTCTTCCAAAATGAATCAGAAGTACATCTCTGAGTTACCACGCTACTATTTTCCTACTTGCTTTGCAGTTGAAGTCAGCAGTTTTTACTGACGGCTGAACATGCCTGCTCTGCAAAGTGCATGACACCACCTTCGCATCCAGCTTTGTAATGAGAAAAATTGCTTTTACAGCTTCAGCATGCCTGCTGATGAGTAACAGAGCACAGGGCAGAAGTGCAGGCTACAAGGGGCATCATTAACTGCGAACATCAAACCTGGAAAAGCAGTAGCTCTTCTCAAGGGCGCCTTCCAGGCCAAGATATGCCTGGAGACAGCAGTGACAGATACACAGTGGAGACACACAGCGGAACACAGCGTACCTAGGCTGAACTCGCTGCTACCCCTGGCACCCAAAGACACTGCACCAGCAGAAATGGGGTGTGAATTCGCCTGTCCTAACCCCTACCTCTCCTACAGCTGCTGCAGTAGAGTTACAGCATGTACACAGCAGCAGCTTTCCTGCTGTTACAGCCTTACCACCTCCACAGAGCAAGAGATCAACAGCAAAAGCGCTGTTTTCAGCAAAGCCCCGGTCCTACCCAAAAGGGTTTTGCTGGTGTGATGATGATGGGTCCAAGGCACAGCGGTACCACTGCCCCATCGATAGAGATCTGCAGGAAAAGTTTGTCACATGGACTTAGCCTTATTCTGGATTTACCACATCAGAGTAGGGGAGACTGCTTCATGGATCTTGGATGCATCATAACCTTCACCTTGAATCCCTGACACATTTTAACACCAAGTTCTTCCCTCTCATACTTGAAGTTAACTGAACTAATTTTTTGGTTCTTAATATCAGCTTCAATATGGAAAAATAATTGCTTGAGCATCTAGAACTCCACTGTGGATGAATGGGGAGAAAAGCATCATCTGTAGGTAACTACACAAATAGCCTTTATCATTTTTTATTTTAAAGAAAGCTTCTGCTGCTGATTGCAGAGGATCAAGTAAATAAGAATGTCACTTGCAAACAGCGCTGCATTTTACCATTTGTGTTGCGGTCACAGAAGAAGGTAAGTTTAGATTCCAGACCTTAAACCTAATCAAATGATGAACCAACTAACCTCTTAAAACAGAGGGCAGGTCTTTTACTGAGCACTTTATCCTGGAAACTGATGTACAAAAGCAATTATTTGTCATAGAATCATGGAATGATTTAGGTTAGAAGGGACCTTAAAGCTCATCCAGTCCAACCCCCTGCCATGGGCAGGGACACTTCCCACCAGACCAGGTTGCCCAAAGCCCCATCCTACCTGGCCTTGAATACTTCCAGGGAGGGGGCATCCACAACTGTGCCAGTGTCTCACCACCCTCATAGCAAAGAATTTCCTCCTAATATCCAGTCTAAATCTACCTCTTCCAGTTTAAAACCATTCCCATTGTCACTTAACTCTGTTAGACACTTCAGAGTCACAGAATAGTTGAGGCTGGAAGACACCTCTGGAGGTCATCTGGTCCAACCCCAAATGCTCAAACAGGGTCAGCTAAAGCAGGCTGCCCAGGACCATGTCCAGACATCTTCTGAGCGACTCCAAGGATGGAGACTCCACGGATGGAGACTCCACCACCTCTCTGGGGCAATCTGTGCCAGGGCTCCATCACTCTCGAGTACAAAAAAAAAAAAAATTTTATTTTAAAAGTACTTTGCACTTTTCCTTCAGGAATTTATGTACATTGATAAGATCCCCTCTGAGCCTTTTCCAGACTGAACAGTCCCAGTTCTCAGCCTTTCCTCACAGGAGAGATGCTCCAGTCTCTTCATCATCTTAGTGGCCCTTTGCTGGACTCTCTCCAGTAGCTCCACATCTCTCTCGCAGTGGGGAGCCTGAACTGAACGCAGCACTCCAGGTGCATCTCACCAGGGAAGGTTCACTTCCCCAGCCTGCTTGCAGCACTCCTCCTAAAGCAGTGCAGGTTACCACTGGTGGTCTTTGCTGCCAGGGCATGTTGCTGGCTCTGTCCAATTTGCTGTCCACCTGCACCCCCCTGGCCTTTGCTGCAAGAATACAACCTGAAGGATGATTCTAAGCAGCTTTACTGCCAAGCAGGCAAATTCTTTAATTCAAAGCAGCAACTGGGGGCGTTGGTTTAAGAATGGTACGCTGCCTAAACTGAAAGGCAAGAATGGTAAACCACCACCGATCATGACAGAGGGGCATTTGCTATTGAAACACACACAGAAAGACATCAGCAGGTAAGTTAACAGGACTGGAAGTAAATAAGTTAAATAGGGAACTATAGCTAAGGAGATTATTATATGATACAGAATGCTCTTTCCTGAAAGATATCACTGTCTCATCCCCAACTCACTACTAAAACTGGGTTACAAGGTCAGCTCTGTGCTACTTCAATGTGACTCAGTTACAACCCACTAATCTCAGAATCAGTATCTGTTTCTCACATTACGCTATGATTTCCTGAAGTCTACTGAAATACAAAACACTGCAAGAATTAAAAAAAATTAAAAAAGAAAAAAAACAGAGTTTAAGCAAAAATCAGATGGTATCAAATTTGGCCTAGGAGAAAGGCAGCTACCAAATCCTTCTGAGAAAAGAGAAGATGGAAAACAATTTTTGTCATATAAAACCCATGATTTTGCTCACAGTGGAAACAATCTTGTTTTCATTTTATAAGTAACTGGTTTATGAAACTACAAATACTGTGAAATGAAGACCGCTTCCCTTCAACTGGAAACCAAGTATTACTGAGCTCTTATACCAATTAGCAACAAGCAAGAATTTATCTTCCGGAAAGTCACAGCTACACAGTAAGCTTCAGTATAAAGATCAGAGAATCTTGAGCAGAGAAGGTTTTTAAACCCTTTAAAAAAGTTAAACCCTAGCCCAGATGAATCAATACAGTTCAAACAATTTAAAGGTGTACCCTCTATTGTGCTTTCTCCAGCCTGGACTCCTGCTTCCTGAACAGCCTCCTCCTCTGCTGTAGTGCCCATCACCAACACTGTGCTTCCAGAAGCCTCTCTTTCCAGTTTAGGAGCAGTTACTTCTGCTAGTGTCTCCTGTGCCTCCTTCACCTTTCTTTCATTTCCTCCAGATATCGGTTTTTGCTTTTTGTCTCCCCGAGTCACGGATGAAGCTTTCAGCTTAATAGCTGCTACCTGGGTTCCAATGGACTTTTCCTCCAAATAATCAGATTTATGGGTGACTCTGGTCAGGCCTTGGCTTTCAACCATGTGTGGTTCTAAGACCAGCTTCTGCTGGCCTGCTTCTTTTGGAGTTGATTTTACTTTGGTGTCTCTTGCTTTGGATTTTAATGTTTCATGACGGACTGATGTCTTAGAACGCGTGACCTGCTTGATAGGAGACACATCAGTTTCTGTTTTGCTTGGCTTTCTCTTAGCTACGTATTCCTTGTGGGATTTCTGGGACGAGTTGCCTTTTGCTAGCATTGATGCCTTTACTGCTATGTTCTCAGAAAAGATGGAGTCTCGTCTAGGAAACTCAACCTTGGTTTTAATGGCAACTTCTGAATCATCATCACCACCATCATTTTCTTCCTCAGAATCCGAGCTAGAATCCAAATCAGAGCTGGATGATGATGAAGTTTCTTCCTCGACTAGCTCTTTCTTCAAGCCTCCTCCTGTTGCAGGTGCAGTGAGGTTTTCCTCCTCAAGAGAGGAAACAGCTACCCGCTGAGGAAATGCAACCACAGTTTTTCTTGACATGAACATCCTCATGTCTTCAGCAGATGGTTTTGAAGCTTCCTCACGGTTAGTACTAGATAAGGTCTCACCTTTGTTTGTAGATACTGGGAGAGAGCTAGAAGACAACATTTTAGGAAATTCAACTGTTGCCTTGGTGGCTAGCAGCTTGGCGCTCCCCTGTGGTGCCACTACATCTAGGAAACGGCATAAAGAGGATTATCATCATTATATCCGACACCGCTGTCAATTAGTGATCTTAATCTCAGAAAGTTAAAATTCTGTGACTATCTCATACAAAAAGCAAATTGAAAGAAGTTATTAAACTAAATACAGGCATCACGAAACAAAGTTTTCAGACATTTTAAATTAAAGACACTAGAGTTCTAGTTAGCACTGAACAGTTTTTGCTGTTGTGATGCTGAAACTCCCGAGACAATGCCTTCTGCTCCTTGCTCTGCCAGACTCCTCACAAGAGCTGTTTTTCTCAGTGCTTCAATTCTGCACCACTGGAAATGGTTTACAGACACCTTCCTATCTGAAATGAACATTAAGATAGCTTGTCAGCCAAGCTCTTCAAATATGCTGCTACAGAGACAGTATTTGTCTATGAAGAGGCCAGCGAAGCAGCTGACACAGTAAACAGACACAGCAACAGTCAGCCTCTTGCAATAGTTATCTTTAAAGCAGTAGGGAGGGATGACTCCCCAGACAAAGCAGCAGAATAAGAGATACCCGAGGCCATACATGGAAGTATTACTTGTACACCTGTCCACGCGACCTAGCAACTGAATTGTGTTTAGCACAGTTTAACATAATTTCCCCGAGGCCTTATCTCCTCCAGTCTTCACTGTCTCTACTTCCTGTTTTTCATTTGAGACTTCTTCATAAAAAGTCTTAGAAGATCTCCTAATGCTTCACATTAGCCTGCCTTTAGTTCTTTCCCCTCATGGATACTTTCATTAAGTTAAATTCTCCAGACAAGGAGCTAACAGTTGAAGAGAACGCAGCAGCTTTCAGGCCCTTCCAGAGAGTACCAAATGCTCCTTGGATGCTTGTGCCAATGCTGTCCTCAAGAGGCCGATCAACAGCAAATACTGCTGTGGTTACCGAAAACAGAAGAAGAAAGAGGACTGGGAGCACATTAAGATAAGCCACTGCTGAAATTTGCTGTAGCAAAGCTAACTCCATTGTGAGTTGCATCACTTTCAACCAGCAGTGTAATTCCACAGATTTCCAGTCTATTGTACCGATTTACCAGATAATTTGGAAACCCAGCTCTACTTTACAAGAAAATAAACTAGATGCAGTGTTCCCCCTTACTAGTACTTACAGTAATACCTTGTATGAATCAAGGAGTTCCTATAATTAGTTCTGAATAGAAGCAAGTTTTTAGCAACGTCTAAACGAAAATATCACAGAAGAGACAGACACATTAAATTAAAGGCAAAGTATTTAAGAAAGAAGTAGAGTGTACTTAATATAAATACAAATGGGAGAAAAACAAACCCTCAGTTTACTATACAGGTAATACTTCTGAGTAATTTCAGACACGTACTTCTCTCTGCCAGATGGAAGGCGCAGGGCAGGGAGGCAGAGCAGGAGGGGAAGCAGGAGGACGGGCAGGCACCTTTGAGAGAAGCCTACCTGCATGGATGACACAGCCAAACAGCAGCCTGTAGGAACTAATACGCAAGGAAATCACTCCAGGTTGAGGAGTTCTTCAAAGGACACACACACACAGGAAGGTCAGACTAACACAAGAATGACCAAAGGAATGACGGACAAGCAACGGCTGAGCAAAAGCTGAAGTAGAATTAATGCTAAGGCAACCTAAGAAACCAAGAAGGCAGGTAATGTTCAACTTGACCATTAACCCATTAACAGTAGAAAAATGGAAAAATACTTTAAAGCGTAGTACTTGGATATGTGAAGAATGTTTCAGCTTTTAATCACAGTCTAACACAACTGGTACAGACACTTGAATTAGGGCACTTCAAACTTTGTACCACCTGATCTGTATTTGCATTCCTCTGCCAGAAGAGCAATACATCCAAATCAGCAACAAGAATATTATTCCCAGATGCAGCCTCACTGATGCTTGTAACATCAGTATCGTTATCAGAACGTGTTTAAAACACGTTCACACTCAAAGCTGGCATGTAGAAATTATGCATCTACTCCCCATTATTGTCTTTGTAAGTAAACCTGACCATTTTATCAAGGCAAGGAAAATCTGCACACCCTGTTCCAGCTAAAATCTGAAAAAGACAGCTGCATCCTATACACCTTGACTAACCTCAGTCATCTGCAGGGGAAGCTGTTGGCTGAAAGAAGTGGCCTAAGAGGTCTCCTGACACCTTCTGAAATCAGCGCTGCAGGACAATGAACCTAGAAACTGATGCTAAAGTACAACTCCAATATGCTTAAAATAATGCTAAAAATAAATCATAACAGGAAGCAAAGGCTTTTTAAATGTAGCAATCAAGCTTTTATTTGCCTTGGCATTTAAGAGGCTAACATTAAAAGCCAGAGTCTACAAATACTATTTTAGTGATCCTGTCAACAAGCCTGATTACTCCTACATACGGTCCCAATGAGCTTTTCTGTTTAAGCACCCGGATCTCCAATTTGGGATGGGAATCAGACTCACTGAACCAGTGAGCCTCCATTTACAAACACCATTTTGCACAAAATATCCCTCTTGGAAATTTGTGTTCATGTTTTGACTGGTTAGGGACAGAAGGGGCTCAAACACTTCTGAACAGCAAATGCACTGCAGCATCCAAACCCAGGTCCATGCTGTACCTTGCATTATAGCATTAGCAGTCAGCATTATAACTAAATTTAACACAGCATGGCTGTAGTTGTTTTCTGCAGCTTCTCAACACTGTTGCCTGGAGCAGACACTGGGATCCTGCAAGTCTTTCTCTTTCTGTAAAATGGGATGATTTTGACCCAAATATTTTAAAAGATGAGGGGGATACGTCCGAAGATCAAAATCAAATTCTGCACCTCATCAGAAAAAGTAACTCGCTGCACCCATTCCCACCAAATTTCAGGCAAATTGCAAAGACTGTTTGTATTACGACAACATAATGAGAGTTCTCCATAAGTCTGGTCAAGCATCACAGCAGCTGACATACTAAGGTGAAGGGAAGCAGGAAAGAAGCATCAAGCTCGTAGTGTGGCCTAAAAGTATGAATATATCCCACACAGACCCATTCCTACCAGACCTTTACTTTTAGTTTTCATACTACACATTTGAACAGAAATCCCCGTTTACACGCTGATGACCTTGTACTTTCTTGGCTCACGTATCAGCTGTTCAGAGGCGTGGCCACGGGCATTTCCAAACTTCTTTTTCCCTATTTAACAACCAGAGGGACTTCAACTTCCGACAGGCACTCCTCGCTTGAAGGGAGCGGAAGCCTCCCTAGGCCATGAGAGCACCAGAAAAGGAGACTTCCCTTCCTGAACACCCATTTCTGTTTGTTTATTTATTTAGCCAAGGACGAAACAAGCATCTTACTCGCTGGGGGCGGCGGCGTCCCGGAGCCCACCGGCCTGGTGCAGAGCCCCGCGGAGGGGGCCCCCCCTCGCACCCCCAGCGCTCCCAGCCGCAGCACCTGCAAGGCACCGGATTAAAAAAACAAAATTAAGGAAAGGAGACAAAACAAACCAGCCCTTCCGTTACGACTGAGGGGAGGTGCCTGGTAGGATACGTGCCACCCAGAAGCCCCAAAACAACCGCGCAGGGACAACCCGAAAAGCTGCTCCTCCTCGCCCCTCTCCCCTTGCCGGCCCTGCCCTTTACCTTGCGGGTCCCCGCCCGGCCGCAGCCCAGCAGCGAG